GACCTATTAGATTTGTTTCTTTATAGTATAAGAATATATGATTCATTTTTTTGTGCATTCAAAATAACTTATATTAACAATCTGTGGTATTGGTTCTTTACATTCTGTGTTAATTAATCAAAAAATAAATTACAAATCGGATTTTCACAGGTAACACATACGTAAAAAGTCACATGCCTGAAAAAATTGATTGCGTAATACACATACCATAGAATAAAATCGAAGGTCATGGAACTTTTTATGCATGATGTAATCATGTAACCTGCTGATTGTTCTAATCTGATTGATTAACTCCGTGAAAAGTTTTCTTATCACAGCTTTTTTTGTTGTCCCGTGTTACAGATGTCTTCAAAAAAACGAAAAAACGTTGAAATCGAAAGTACGAGCTCTTCTGCCTCCCATCAACAACCCAAACGCCTTGCCAGAGGAGACTCAGCTATCGCGGAGGCCACCAGTAATCTTAGGCTCAGTTCCAGTTCCAGTCTCAGTTCTCGTTCCAGCTATGGCGTAAAGGATCTCCCTCCTGTGTTCGCAACAGAAGATATGGAGGCATTAAACGTGATCTTCATTCCGGCTTCCAGCGCGGACGAAGTCATACCTGATATTCAAGGTAAGAGCTATGTTGCTTCAACAAATCTTAGTGAACCTAATACTTATAATTTAAATATTGTCCAGTCACTGAATTCCGGAACAGTACCTTCTCCCTAAGATCGGTCGTGAAATACTTGCAAATGCAGAATTGGATGTTCACAAACTTGAAGACATCTCAAAGCCTAAGGTTCAAACATTCCTTATCAAATTGAACGCTGTCGTGGTAAATGGTCTTCAGGCGGTTGGCACAGATGAAACCTTTACTGACACATATGTAGATAATCTACTTCGTATTTCTAAGCTAGATAGCTTCCCCTTAATGATCAGGTATGTAATCATTGAAAGTCTTTTTATTTATTGTGGTGTACTCCAATCGTTCTAATGTTTGCATTTTCAAAATCAAGAAATCAACCGCCACGCAAATTATACATCCAGGATGTTGCACGCGTGACATCAGTCCCTGATTTCGTAATTGAGAAGAAAAACCATAATATTGTTGTGATAGAGGTCTGTATGTTCTGTAAGTTATTATTTTCCCTGACTCAAACGTCGTGTTTTAACAGGACAAACACATGAAAAACGTTGGGCCAAGCAATGGATTTGGGGAAACACAAATCGCAGTAGAGATTCTTACTTGTGGTAGCGAGAATATACGTTCCATTGGCAGAGAGAAATATACAGATCAGACATTATGGGGAGTTCGTATAATTTCGACATATGTTACGTTTGATAAAGCATTGATTCCTGCGATGTATTGGGAGGAGCTTGGTAAAGGTTTGCCAAAAAAACAGTCAATGACAGTTCAAAGATGGCCTTCTGAAAATGGTTTGAAGACTGGTTTCGATTTCGCTCAGCCAGAAGGAAGACAAGCAGTGTTGACAGCATTAGCCAAAATTCGTGAATCACTTTTACAAGACGAATAGCTGTTGTAATAATGTAATGGGTTATTTAGTCGTACTGGGAGCAGTTTATAGCGTGTCCAATTTAATATAATAAAGAATTGCTATTTTGCATTTTGCATTAAAAAGGGTGATCTTGATTAATAATTCTCGTAATTTATTGCTCTTTTGTAAGAAAAGCAGATAATACCAATGAGCGTAGATTTTATTTTTCCTGATCGATCGCCAGTTCGTGTTACACCCGGATATTAAATCGACGCGATATTTTTTAGTCATCCGTATATTTGGGTCATAAGAATAAATCATAGTTCAAGGATTTTTAATAAACTTTTGAACATAACCGCATCTTGTATAAATAATGTCAGATACTCAATCAAAAATCGATTCGTTGCAAGAATTAAATTCGAAGCTTTTAGCTGAAATTTCTAAGCTTAGAAAGGAGAATTCTGACATCAAGGCTGAGAATGCAAAGTTAAAACAAGATAAAGAAGAAATCGAGGCCAGAATCGTGGGATTAGAACAGACCACCAAAGAAAATGCCGAGCTTAAGGTCAGAGTCGCGAAATTGGAACAGACTGCAGAAGAAAATGCCGAGCTTAAGGCTAGGGTCGCGAAATTGGAACAGAAGCAGTTACAAAACAATATTTCTTCCGGTACCTGTCCATCCAACTCGCCCATATTGCCAGAAGATAAAGAGGTCAATGATTTTGTGGATTTGAAAGTTAAAGAAAGGGTTAGTAACGAGATAAGAGATAGAAACAGACAAAAAAAGCTTCAGCGCGAATCGGCTGGAAAACAAGCCCAAGACTTATCGCAATTGCATGAAATTACATCCAGAGATATGGAGTCACGATCCCAAGTTAATCATAATACAAAAACCGTTCCCTTAGGGAACGATCAAAGTCATGTGATTTTAACTGAGTCACCTTTGTTGCAAACTGAAGTGTCTGAATTAGAACAGGATGACGAAATTGATAAAAACCAAATCGTTGAACAAGGTTTAATACAAGAATTTCATTTACATACTAAAGAAAATGACAGCTCTATCGAAATTAGCAACTCCGGTGACAAATCAGGAAATATGATTTCGGAGGAATCGATGATTGTTTCCTTTGGAAATTCTGCCCAACATTTGTCTCATTTATTTAAAACAGCAATCAAGTCAAGACAACAGGAAAGCTTAAACTGGTATTATTATTCTCTTGAATTCGAAAATAAGGTTCATAATATTACAGCCGATGGTAAAATAAAAGATAAAACGGCCAGAACAATGATTTACAAAGAAATGAAACTTTTTCTTCCTAGTATCACACAAGATAACTTACGCAAAAAAACTCTTAGAGCTAGAAAGCTTTTTATGTTATTCAGAAAAGATGGAGTTGGAATAGATAAAATTAAGCAAATCACTTATAGCGCGAATGAGATTTCAAAACTGACTAATGTCCAGATCCAAAATATTACTCACAAAGTAAGGGCACTTACGTGCCTAGATCAAGTGACTTTAAAAACCGCTTTCTCTATAGAGAAAGACAATCAGACTAATGCAGAGGTGAGTGCTTCATCTAATGCACGAAGTGCACTTTCTCCAAAAGATAATATATTGCCAGAAAATAAGATATGTCTTGGCACTAGCTCCGTTATTCCATATATAGATTACGCAAGTGTATTATCTAACTCAACTCATGACTGCGCTTATTTTCGTAATAAAATATTAGGTTGATATTCTGATATACATAGAGAATTTAGTAGTGAAAAATTTGATTATTATGGAATTATTGACAAGTAATTATGTTCAGCATGCAAGTCGAGTCATAGAGATGAAGCTGAATCTTATTTTATTAAATATGGACAACAAGAAATTGAAATAACTGCGTAAGTAAATAATTACATAAATCTGGTCAAGTGGATAGCGATATTTTTTTCTTGGCAGTTACGTGATTTTGAATTGAATTGCATTAATATAAAATAATAACATGTCTTTTGATACTACCTCCAGCAAGATATTAACTGATGACTATTGCAAATGGTATGTTAATTTAGTTGATTTATCAAGTTTTCAAATAGAAAAAATTCATTCTAGATTATATAGAGCATACACAGAAGAGACTGGACTGGATCCTTGAATAAAGTCTGAAACTTCTGAATCCTCACAAAGCAAAAATGCTGATAATTATATCATACAAGACAGTTCGTTGAAAACTCAGGTAATGGTGCCAAACAAAAATCGTCTTTATCAGTATGCCATCGAACATGGAATAAATCCCAAAGAATTTTCAATTATTACAGAGACTGAGAAAAATAAGTGGATCATGAGGTGTTTTCGTGGAGATTTGAAAAGAGATATACATTGTTACGATCCAGAATTATTCTTAATTCCTTAATTTTGATCATGTGACTAAACATAGATTGTAGAGATAGCAGAGATAGCAGAGTTCTCAGTTATATCAACATTATTCGCTATATCATATTTATCTG